TTGTATTACCCTATCAATGTAATTAAAAAACACTGCAGATAAATCTGTCCTCTAACTAACAAAGTAATATCATAAAATGAATTAAATTAAGAAACTGTAAGTGCTGATACTGCAGCACTAAACCAGATTTTAGTTGGGTTTGGGGAAAGATACACTCAACCTTTGGCCTCATCTTGCTCTTGGTGGAATGCACTTATTGAAGGTCGCAAAGGCAAATTTCTTTGTTTTTGCTAGCTGGTATTCACATCTAGATGTGTTAAACAACTCAGGACATATAACCCTTTGTTTAAACATTTTTCAAGTGAGCAAAACTATTGGAACATGTGACTGACAGATGTTTCTTGTAGCCCAGGTGTTGCCTTTTAGGTTGATTTACCAAACATTAAATAGCTCTGCATGACTAGTCTAAGTTTTCATCCTTGGTTCAAACCTATAAAGACTGCATTTCCTGTTAAAGAGGATAAACCAACATGAAGACCAGAGAGCTGTCTATGGGAGAAAAACAAGCCATTGTCAAGCTGAGAAAAGAGGGAAAATCGACCAGAGCCAATGGTCAAACATTGGGCATAGCAAGCACAACAATTTGGAATGTTCTGAAAAAGAAAGAAACTACAGGTGTACTGAGCAACAGACGTTGAACAGGTCGACCAAGGAAAACAACAGTAGTTGATGACAGAAATATCGTGAGAGCTGTGAAGAAACCCCCAAAACATCAGTAAGTGACATCACCAACAACCTCCACAGTGCAGGGTGAAGGTATCACAATCCACTGTTGGAAGAAGACTCAGAGAGCAGAAATATAGTGGCCACACCACAAGATGCAAACCACTCATCAGCAGGAAGAATCCAAAGGCCAGATTGAAATTTGAAAAGAAGTACAGTGAGGAGCCGCAAAAGTTCTGGAGCACAATCTTATGGACGGATGAGACCAAGATTAATCTGTACCAAAGGGATGGAGAAAGAAAGGAACTGCTTATGATCCGAAGCATACAAGCTCATCTGTGAAGCATGGTGGAGGTAATGTCATGGCTCGGGCTGCATGGCTGCTTCTGGAACAGGCTCATTAATATTTATTGATGATGTAACTGATGATGGTAGCAGATTAATGAATTCAGAAGCGTACAGAAACATTTTGTCTGCCAATTTACAGAGAAATGCATTGAAACTAATCAGGAGGAAGTTTATCATGCAGCAGGAAAATGACCCAAAGCACACTGCCAACAAAACAAAGGACTTCATCAGGGGAAAAAGTGGAAGGTTTTAGACTGGCCAAGTCAATCACCTGACCTTAACCCAATAGAACTGCATTTCACCTCCTTAAGAGGAGACTGAAGGGAGAAACACCCCGAAACAAACAAGAACTGAAAGAAGCTGCGGTAAAAGCCTGGAATAGCATCACAAATGAAGAATCCAACAGTTTGGTGATGTCGATGGGTCGCAGGCTTGAGGCAGTTATTGCAAGAGAGGGTTATGCCACCAAATATTAAATGTTATTTACTTTAAGATTATTTGTTCCTTTACTTTTGCTCACCTAAGAATGTTGTGGTCTAATACAAATGGTGATATGTCCTGAGTTGTTTAACACATCTAGATGTGAATACCAGGAAATAAAAGCTGAAATTCTGAACTCTTGTCTCAGACTCATCTTTTGATCTTAAACCCAAATGTCTTCAGTGAACAACAAAAACAAAGGAATTTGCCTTACCGTTCCAATACTTTTGGAGGGGACTGTATATTGTCATCTAGGTTAAAAATGAGAAAGGTGCTTCTTGGATCAAACAGCATTGACACCTCCAATCACATCTTTCCAACGTCTTGTGTTAAAATTGGGTGAGCTGCGTCAGTTTTTGGAACTTTCTCAAACCGACACTGTTGAGCTTTTTTTTGTTTGTTTGTTCTGTGAATGTACATCAAGAGCAATGTCAGTCATATGCCTTGTATGTGGACACATACCTGGCCATGATTCTGATTCTGATGGTAATCGTTCCCTCTACCTGCAAGGACTAGCCAGGTGGGTGAAGGTTAGAAGGTATTCAGGGTTTGGACTTTGAACCAAGTACAACACTATGAACCAAGTGTGTGCTGTTATCCCAAATTGAATGAATTTCGTGCCTTGCTCTTTTCTATGACAGTTGGCCCTTTTCCCAACATTTAAGCATGTACATTCAGAACTTGTTTTACAAATCACACGTTCCTTTTGATTCAACACCGTCTCAATGTGCAACTCCGCATCAAAGCTCAATAGAGAGACTGCGGTTGTACTGTGCAGCTCCCAGGTAATGTTGTTGCTGAATAAGAGCTTGGAGCCTACTAAATCTTCAAAAAAAAACTTTACAGAGGAAGGCTGGGTGCTGAGCTTAATTATTCCTTAAGAATTATGAAGCAGATGCCAGCAGCTTTAGAACCTGAAGTTGACAGGGGACTAATGATCAGTAAGTGTGTTTTGAAAGCTTAGAGAGAAAGCACTGCTCTTGCTTCTGCATGCATTGTAAAATCCAAAATGAGGCAAGACTCTTGCTTGAAAGAGGAAATTTGTATGCTGCCTGTCATACCCGTAGCTGTGTTAAAAGGTAGCTGCTACTACAATAACATGCATATCAATATCTCATTTAGGGGGAAGCTCAAACTGTGTAGCCACCAAATTCAAGATGAAAGAAGATTAGTGTGGCATTTTCTGAGTTTTTTGGGGGTTGCTTCTGACGAGAAGCTGTTAGTGTACCCATTTGATCTGATTAGTGTATTGGCACCACTGATCAAAGAACAAGCCTCATTTGTACACTATCACTTTGCCTTTGAACCTCAGATGGTGAGACTAAAATAATTTGGCAGATAGGAATGGCGTACAGCTCCTGATTCCAGCAGTGAATCATACAGTAAAGGCATGTATTAGCATATTACAGATAAAAGCACATAAATTGGCCCCAAACATGTGATTATCTGCAGGACGAAGACATGGGAAAAGAAAATTTACATTACGCTTGTGTAATGAGGTTGTTCTCTATTCTGCTGTGTAAAATCAGTGGGGATGGTGCGTTTCTGTGCGCTGCCCCAGCTCCCTCCCTGTCCAGCCTTCAAGTATGAGAGACCACAAACCTCAGGGGGATTACTGTAATGCTTAACCAATGTCAAACAAGTCTGAGCTTAAACAAGTCATTTCGGAGGGCTCTTAAACCACACAACTCATTCTGAGTGTTTTGATTCATAACCCATTCCAGAGTTCTGTTGATATATGCTTCATATCGAGATGTACTACTTGACAGTTCTTTGCATGCCTATTGGCCAGGGGTACGGTTAGGGTTAGACGTTTGCAATTTGCATTAAGGTAGCATTTTTCAATAAAGAAGCATAAATCATCTGAACACCGGCTACTTTGATGCACCTTGAGAAGTTTTGTTGAAGCTTTGCAAAATGCAACCTCAGTTTTATGCCATAGAATGTATCATGTTGCTATGGTGCATGGTAAATTAGCACCCTGCATCCAGCCTAATTAACTTTATTCAGTGTGAATCATCTACTTATTGTCAGTCACTCTAGAACAATGTTTTGTCAAAATACCACAGATTTCAATTGTGGAAATGCATCTAACTTGAATGTTTAGTGTCAAAGATGTTGGGTTTTATGCCATGCTGATGGGATCACTGAAATGATATAAGCAAAAGTTTCAGTTTCATAATTGAGTTTATGAACTTAATTATGGGTAATTTGGAGACATGAAAAGTCAGTTTTGTTTTCTGTAAATACTGTGATTTTATTGATTTATTTATTGATTTGTGGATTATGATGTAAACGTAGAGTATGTGCAGCATTAGGCTTCTAGGGTGTGAGGGGGAGTGATGATACTAACTTCATCTCTAGTGTAACGTATACTCAGAGCCTACAAGTTGATGCTGGATTGGAGGTGGGTCTTTTGAAATGCTATATGAACAGTCGCAGCAGTAACAGTGTGCCTGGAGGATAAGCATATTATCATGCCCAAAAATGATTGGAAAAATCAAACGTTATACGTTTTCATATCAGAAGTCTTGCCTGTTTCAGACCTCTGAATTGCTGCTGAATTGCTTTTAAGAGATTCAAATAAGTCTAACAGGAAAAGCAGTCAGGACAATCAGAGTTTTGTAGGCAGAATTAAGAAAGGTGATGCCACAGAAATGGAACAGGCGTAGTGTGATCAATGCAGCTATAGCCTACAGGTTGTTGTAAGTCAACTTACAAAAAAAACTTAAAGTGACATGTTTCTTTCATCATTGTCACGTAACTGCTCCTAGCAAACCACAATTAAACCTTTAACTGACCTAACCAATGACTTGTGACTAATTTCAGTCAATCAAACAGTGTGGAAGGGACTTCAAACTGTAAAGGTTTTTGAGTCGAGTTTCTGTAGGTGGTATTCATTTCTCTGTCTGTTTAGCCACGGTGGCCTTTGCAGCTCATGCTGACATAGCCAGTGCTTTCTTCATTTATTACTAATCAACCACTAATGTAAAATGTATTACATCCTGTGATAAATGATACACCATCCAAGTATTTGTCATGTAGGTGGAATCACCACCATTTTAACCAATTAGTAATAGTGAATAAAATAGACATCTAGTTTAAATGTTGCTGCTTGGCTGGTTTCCCTAGTAAGCTGCCTTGGAGATGGAGGAGATATAAATAACTGTGAATGACACCTGAACCAAAATAAATAATTTTTCACTACATACAGTAGATTCACATTATAGATGTAGTGTTTCAATTGATTTCAATTTCAATTGATTTACTGATTTCAGATTTAACTTGAGACAAATTGGTCTCATTAAAACATTTACTGCACCCATACCTGCATATAATTTGGAAATTCTGAGTCAAGAAATTGGTGGAAAGGGACCACTTTATTTTACAGGCTGATAAAAGAAGTTTTCTTCTCTTCATCATTCTTCTGTAGGATACATACTGTAGTTTCACCCTGAAGATCTGGAGTAATTGTTGACTGTTCTTCTTCCTTTTTGGCGTTTCTATAGTGACAGTATGCCAAAGCGGATGGCTCTTATCTGCTTCCTGTCTCTGGTCATGCTGATGAGCATCCTGGGAAACCTGCTGGTTATGGTGGCCGTCTGCAAGGACAGACAACTCAGGTGGGACAGAGATTTCTTTCTTTTTTCCTACATATCTTCCATTCTTTCCTATAGAAAATACATGTAACATACAACAACCATCTCTATAATAATATTAAGTTTTTTTGTCTGAGTGAATGTGAATGAGTGCTTGTGTGTCTTTCCGTGTGTTTGAGTGAGACAAAGATAGAAAGGGTGCTTGCAAGAGAGAAAGAGTTCAAGAGAAGTAGAGTGAGAGAGCCACAGTTAAGTAATACATTAACAGCTTCTAAAACTGGAAGTGGATTCCCCCAACACTGAACACATAACCAACCACAAAAGAATATAGTGCAAAATGGAATTAAATAAATATAAATCATATAATACATGCATATACTGTACAAAGAAAGGGTAATTTTTCTGTACATTGTGAAGCTAGATGAAAAACAACAATACACGCGACACAGGCAGAGCTGGCAGGTCATCCTGCGGCCGGTTCGTCATGTGGGAGCCACTGTCACAGCAATTCATTCTTCTTCTTCTTCTCCTCCTGTCCTCTCCACCTTTTCTTTCTCTTCCCTTGTGTCATCTCTCTCTCTCTCTTTCTCTATCGCTTACTGTCTCTTTGATGGTTGGACTCTCTCTCTTTTTGTCTCTTTCTATCTTGTGTCACTTGAGAGCTCAGGGTGACCTTTGTCCCCAACATGTGGTGTGTGTTGGGGTGGAGGATGACCACACACAAACAAAAGAAAACATACTGTAAGCGGGTGTGTGTCAGTTGTGAGTGGGTGTTTATATGTTAAAAGAAGTGTGGTATTGTGCGTATAATAGCATACATGCAGTGTGTGTTTGTGGGTGGGTGTGAGTGTGTACTGTGTGTATTTAAAAACACTGATGATTGATAAAATCATTGCTATGATGTCTCACCTCCCTGAAGAGAGAACACACCATATTTGTTTCTCCTGGCCTCATTATCTTTTTGTCCACTGGGAAACACACACACACACACACACACACACACACACACACACACACACTTTATTCCCAGTACACATAAACTCATTTTCAAATATAAAAAAGACACACACATCCACGCACACACAAACACACAGTATATGCAAATTTAAAAACACACACACACAGACACACACACCTCCTCAATGGCAGCGTCCCATGGGTGACAGTCCTCAAGACAAAAAAATAAACCATAATTCTGAGAGCATCAGTAAAAATAAATTATACAGTGATGGCAAAACAGCCAGCAACAAGTCAGCCTGTTGTTTCACAATGTTAGTCAGCTGGACAACTTTTAGGTAAATCAATCATTAAATTTCTTTGTCTTTTTTATTGTATCATCCTCCTTACTTTTGGCAGTATCCTAAGATTAGAAATTCCAGCATAAACTGAAACATACAAATGTTCATCCGTGTTGCAGGCTAAGCCTTTTCCTTTACAAGAGCAGGCCTGCAAATATAGTCTTTTTTTCATTCCATGCAGTCTTCTTGTCAAAACCTGGTTCCTACATAATATATTATTACACAGCAAGTAGTAGAACTGAACAGCAAGTAAAGTCTGTGCAGTGTCCTTCAAGAGAGGAAAGAGGCCAGACAAACTTAGAGGCATTTCACATACGTAACAAACACACACACACGCAAAGTCTCCAGCAGGGAGTTGACACCAGCAGAGGGTGATTCACAGAGTGCTAAACCACTCATCAATAACCACCACATGAACACAACCACCGTTACCAACCACCTCTCGTTTCTCTCAATGTGTCATGTCATGTGTGTGATCAAGAAACCCACACACACACAGACACATGCTGCCTCACATTCTCTCCATGCTGTTTATACTGGGCATTGGGCAGATCTATAAGCATGGTAACCAGAAACTTAGAAAACTTTGTATTTTGTTGTTTTATTTAGATTAGCCCAATAGAAAGAGTCCCTTTTACTGGTGTGTGTGTCTCAATTAAATGCCAGGTAGGTGCTGGTGGGGTGGAGATGAGGCAGTGGATAAGACACATGCCTTTGGTGTGAGAGACCCGGGTTCAATTCCCCACTGGAACACATCCACCAATCAACCTCTGATTTACTATCTACTGGTTGTGTCCCTGATTATTTTAAAACGGCTTGTTTGAACCCGCTTTTAAAGAAACCTGGTTTAGATCCCTCTCTCCCACAAAATTTTAGACCAATTTCAAAACTGCCTTTTAATCTTTTGCAAAGATTTTAGAAAGAATTGTGTACAAACAGCTGCTCACTGTACTGGAAAATAACAAATTATTGGTTTTAGGAAGTACCACAGCACTGAGACTGCCCTGCTTAAAGTCACCAATGACCTTTCAATGTCTGCTGATGAAGGCATGTGCTCAGTCCTGGGACTCCTGGACCTTAGCGCTGCTTTTGACACCATTGATCACAACATCATGTTAGACAGACTGAGGCACTGGGTGGGGATCTCTGGTACTGCCCTAGAATGGTTTTCATCGTACCTGTCAAATAGGAAGTTTTGCGTGTCTGTAAACAACTATGTCTCCTCGTTCTGTCCAGTTAAATATGGTGTGCCTCAGGGGTCGGTCTTTGGACCCATTTTGTTTTCCTTGTATCTGCTTCCCCTTGGACATATTATCCATAAACATGGTATTTCTTTTCATATTTATGCTGAACACACAAATCCACAGACCCTGGAATGCTGAGTTCACTTGACAACTGCCTTTGTGAAGTTAACAAATGGATGTCAAATAATTTCCTCCAGCTGAACTCAGACAAAACAGAAATCCTGGTCATCGGGTCCCAGCAGATGTCATTTTCTGATTGGTTTGATAGTAATTTAAATTTCGAGCAGCACACCACAAAGCTTGTTCAATCATGTTTTTATCAACTTAGAAATATAGCAAAAATTCGATCTATGTTAACTTTCAAGGACACCGAGACCATTTTACACGCCTTCATCTCATCACGCCTGGATTGTTGCAACAGCCTTTTCACTTGTTTAACCAAAAATCTATTGATCGACTCCAGACTGTCCAGAACTCAGCTGCCAGGCTTTTAACCAGAACAAAGAAATATGACCACATTACCCCTGTTCTAGCTTCATTACACTGGCTTCCAGTATGTTTTAGAATTGACTTTAAAATTCCATTGATCACTTTTAAAGCTCTTCATGGCCTCTCGCCTTGTTATATTTCTGACCTTTTAGTCCCATACACACCAGCACGCACCCTTCTTAAAACATACTTTTATAGGAGAGCCTTTCCCGATCTTATTTGACTTTATTTTATCCCGTTTATTTTATTCTATTTTACTTATTTTATATTTATCTTAAACGTGTATTTTAGTCTTTTCAATGTTTTCTTGCTTTTATCTTGTATTGTTTTTGTATTATTGTCTTTTGGGTATTATTTTCTTTACACTTGTTAAAGCACTTTGTAACTTGTTTTTGAAAAGTGCTCTACAAATAAAGTTATTATTATTATTTTTATTACTAATGAGCATGAGCTAAATGAATAAATGTAATTTATTATGTAATCTCTTAAAACTGGTTGTTCATGCTATTAATGCTATCAGGTAACTATGTTGGTTTCTTATACATTTGGCATACACACAGAGTAATTAACAATTGGATCTGCATTGGGTTGAATGTTTGGTATAGTTAGTTATAGGATTGTTTTATCTTGTTATTTTTCCTTGTATTAACTGAGCGTGATGGTTGTTGTGGGTGGGTGTGCGTGTTATCTGTGTATGTGTAATATATGTAGTTTTGTAATGTTTTGTTTTGTATTTGTTCATTATGTATTTGTGTTACAGGACCCCCTTGAAAATGAGATGCTGCATCTTAAGGGGCTATCCTTCAATAAATTCAATTGAATATCCCATTGATTGAAGAGCCAATGTGGCAAAAAATCAATCTGATATTTTTTTACATGCAAAACCGATTTGTTAGAGTATTTTTTCACATCTGTAAGTGCCAATAAAGGTTGGCATAACTATGGTAACCTTCAGCTTTTATCATTTCTAGGTAGAGTTCTTTCTCTCGCCGTGTCTCTCATCGCTAATCTCTAGATGAGTTGCCTGTCGGAGTTAGATCATATGATAATCAGGTCGGCTGAGTCAGTGAACTCTTTTAAGTCCCTTCATAAAACATATTTTTATAGGAGAGCTTTTCCCTATCTTATTTGACTTTATTTTATCCCTTTTATTTTATTGTATTTTACTAATTTTACATTAAATTTTCATGCTCTTATCTTTTTTTGTATTATTCTTTACACTTGTTAAAGCACTTTGTAACTTGTTTTTGAAAAGTGCTCTGAAAATAAGGATTATTATTATTATTATTATTATTGATATGTTATTCGATAAGCTAATTTTTTTTTTCATACTTTTTAAATAAACAATAAGATAGCATTTCCCATCCTTGCTGAGCAAGAGTTTTGTGCAAAAGGAATTAAAGGCCTGTCCTTTATAGATGTTAAAATGTAAAGAATGTATTTAATAAATGCAGTAATGACATATAATATATATTAGCATTTAAATATCTTATTTTACATTTACATTTACATTTACTCATTTGGCAGACGTTTTTATCCAAAGCGACTTACATTTGAGGAACAACATACAAGCATCAACAGAGCATCAACTACAGATCTACAACTGACAAAACATACTAGTAAGAGCAGCTAGAAAGAGCTCATAGCACATATCACATCAATGGGGTAGATAACTAGGGAAGGAAGGAAGAGTTAGCAAAAAGTGCAATCAAAACAAAAAGTGCAATCAATACAAGATCATTGTAGGGGATAGAAGAAGAAGAGCACAGGAAGTGCATGTTAGAGGTTAGGAGTTAGAGGTGTTATAAGAGGAAGTGTTCTCGGGAGAGATGAGTTTTCAAGAGCTTCTTGAAGTCAGAGAGGGACGCCCCTGCTCTGATGGCGTGTGGTAGCTCGTTCCACCATCGTGGTGTCACAGATGAGAACAGCCGGGACTGGGATTGCTTTGTGTGAAGGGATGGCAGAGCCAGGCGGCGTTCGTTGGAGGAGCGTA